CATGTGGGACGGTGTTGGGGGGGAGGGCATGTGGGACGGTGTTGGGGCTGGTGGGGGGGGGAGGGCATGTGGGACGGTGTTGGGGCTGGTGGGGGGATGTTGGGAGTAATGCACATTTTCCCCGTGTCAGCGTGGGTTTCCTCCGGGTGCTCCGGTTTCCTCCCACAGTCCAAAGATGTACAGGCTAGGTGGATTGTCAGTGCTAAATTACCCATAGTGTCCAGGGATGTTTACGTTAGGTGGGTTAGACATGGGAAATGTAGGGGTAGGGGAATGGGTCTGGGTGGGATGCAGTTTGGAGGGGCGGTGTGGCCTTGTTGGGTTGAATGACCTGATTCCTCACTGTAGAGATTCTATGATTCTATATTATGAATGGGCTGACAGGGAGAATGATGGGGGGTAATGGGTCTGGGGTGGGGGATGCGGGGCGGTAATGGGCTGAGGGGGGAACGTGGGGGGGTAATGGGCTGAGGGGGGAACGGGGGGTGGTAATGGGCTGGGGGGAGATCGTGGGGCGGTTTTGGGGCCAGCAATGCCCACATCGCACAAAAGCACAGTCTCAGAATTAAAAGACGTCAGCTTAAGGCTCAGATGAGGGGAAATTTCTTCTCTGAGGCTTGAGTCTTTAGTGCTCCTTATCACAGAGAGCTGTGGGGACAGAGTCCTTATGTATATTTAAAGCTGAGATGGATAGATTCTTGACCAGTAGAGGAATCGAGGGTTATGTGGAATGGGCAGGAAAGTGAACGGGGAATGTCGGATCAGTGAATGACCCTATTGAGTGGTGAGCTGGTTTGAGGGCGCAAACGGCCTATTGCTATTTCAGTTTCTTACAGTCTTAACATACCATTTGATATCATCATCCATGCTGCACCTGCATGCATATTTTCAGTGACTGGTGTACAAGAACACCCAGGCCTTGTTGCATTTCCCAATATATCCCCATTAAGATAATTTGTCTGGTTGATTTGGCCATCAAAGTGGATAACCTCACATTTATCCATATTATACAGCATCTGTGAAGAAAAAAATCAGAGTTAACATTTCAGGTCTGGTGACCCTTCCTCAGAACTCAGGTTCACTGAAGCTCTTCTGCATTCTGCTCACAGCTCACCCTCCCACCCTGTGTAGTGTCATCTGCAAACTTGGAGATATGACAGAAAAAATTGCAGATTCTGAAAATCAGAAATACAAACAAATTGTGGAAAAACTCAGCAGGTGTGGCAGAAAGCAATGTTTCGGGTCCAGTGATTTTTTTTCTCAGAACACAGTTTTGTAAACCACATCCACTGGCTCCCCTAATTTTAAATCCTCAAAAAAATCAGCAGATTTGCCAAGCAAGACTTCCCCTTAATATATCCATGCTGAGGTTGGGAATGTGGGGAAATTGGAGGAACAAGGGAGAGAGGGAAATTAATGTGGACACAATTACCTTAGTCTCTACCCTTTCCATTTCAAATCATCAAGGCAATACACATCCAAGTGTCATCAGGGATCCCAAACAAAATTAATGGGAATCTGGGAAAACTCTCCATTGGTTGGAGTCATACCTGGCACAGAGGAAGATGGCTGTTGTGGCTGTGGTTGTTGGAGGTCAGTCATCTCAGCTGCAGGACACCTCTGCAGGAGTTCCTCAGGGTAGTGTCCTAGGCCCAACCATCTTCAGCTGTTTTAATGACTTTCCTTCCATCTTAAAGTCAGAACTGGGGATGTTTGCTGATGCTTGCACAATGTTCAGTACCATTTACAACTCATACTGAAGTGAATCTGGATGGTATCCAGGCTTAGGCTGACAAGTGACTAATATCATTCACACTGACACAAGTGCCAAAAATGAGCATTCCAATAAGAGAAAATTCGATTGTACCCACCACTTGACATTCAGTATGAATGAATCACTGAATCTCCCACTGTCAAAATCCCGGGAGTTACCATCACCCAGAAACTGAACTGGACTATTTTTATAAATACAGTGCTACAAGACTATGTCAGCGGCTAGTAATTCTGCAGTCCCATGACTCCCCAAAACCTGTCCTCCGCCATCTACAATGTACAAATCAGGAGTGTGATGGAATACTCCCATTTGCCTGCATGTAACTCCAACAACACTCAAGAAGTTTGACACTATCCAGGACAGAGCAGCCCACTTCATTGGCACAGCAACCATGAACATCCACTCCTTCCACTACTGAAGCTCAGTAGCAGCAGTGTGTACTCCCTACAAGATGCACTGCAGAAATTCACCAAGGCTTCTTAGACCGCACCTTCCAAACCCATGATCACTTAAAAATTTATTTAAATGCAGAGTCACTCTCATGTCACCACTGGATTTCAACACTTTGGTCCATGTTTGACCTAACGATGACCTCATGAGAGCACTGCAGCAGATCAGAGGAAAATGAGCACAAAAACAAGATGGCATGATGAAATGGCAAGCGACTGGGAGGACAGGGAATCATGCTTACAGAGTGATTGGTGGCAATCCGCAGAGTGGTTGTCCAATCTGTATTTGGTCTTGCCAATGGAAAGGAGACGACATTGTGAGCAGTGAATTCAGTAGACTAGATTGAAAGAAGTATGGGGTCCCTCATTTATGAACATTCAACTTAGGAACATTATTACGTACATAATGTAAATGATTACATTATTTATTAATGGCACAATAAGTTATATATCCAAATTTTGCTGATGACACAAAGTCAGGGAGCATTGTAGACCATGTTGATGATAGCAGTAAATTACAAAGGAATATTGATACACTAAATGAAGGGGCAAAAATCTGACAGACGGAATTCAGTGTTAAGCCAGTGTGAGGTTATTCATTTTGAACTGAAAAAGGCTAGATAAGGGCACTTTCTAGATGGTAAGAAATTAAATATACTGGATGTCCAGAGAGACTTGGGTGTTAGGTGCATCAATCTTTTAGATGTCACAAACAGGTGCAGAAAATAACCAAGAAAGCTAATGGAATGCTGGTCTTTATATCTAGATGACTGGCGTACAGGATGCACAAGTTATGTGGCAGTTATACACAGCCCCTGGTTAGACCCCAGTTGGAGCACTGTGAGCTGATCTGCGCACCGCACCTTAGGAAGGATTGATTGGCCTTGGAAAGAGTAGAACATAGGTGGACAGAAATGATATCTGGATTTCAAAGGTTAAATTATGAAGAGAGATTATTCAAATTAGACTTGTTTTCACCAGAATTTAGAGGTTAAAGTATGATCTGATTGAAGCCATCAAGATATTAACAGGAAAAGACAGGGTTGATAAACTATTTCCCTGGTTGGCAATTCTAGAGTTAGGGCCAAAGCATTCAGGAGAGATGTTAGAAAGTACAATGACACACAAAGGATGGTAGAGGTTTGGAGCTTTCTCTACTACAAATGGCAGCAGATGCAGGATCAGTTGTTAAATTTCAAATCTGCGATAGATAATTTTTTGTTAAGTAAAGGTATGAAGGGATATGGGCCAAAGGCAGGCATATGGAATTAGGCCACAGATCAGCCATTGATCGGTGGAACAGGCTTGAGGGGCTGAATGGCCTCCTCCTGTTCCCATATACTCATGTTTGAATGTTTCTATATGATATGAGTTTGAAGAGATTGGACAATGGGGAAACAAATAGAATCAAGACAGGGATAAACAATAGCTTGATGTTCATGGTCCAGAGGGAGGCAGGAGGAGTTGGCATACTGTTTCTTCAAGGTAATGATCAGTACACCAGAGGACAACAGTCCTACCTTTTCAGAAGGTTTGACCTGAGAGAATGGAGTACAGCAATTTCAGAGGGAGATATAGTGGAGAGAGTGAGCGAGCAGAGAAATTAAGCAGGTTGATTTCATGTCAGTAGTTCCCCATGAAGAGAACAAGGGGAAGCAAGAGGTCAGAGGGAGAGATCAGGTGAAAGTGTGCTTTAAGTGGGGAGAGGACATCCACAAAGAAATAGATACAGAAGCAAAGAAACAAGAGTTAAACATCATACTGAGCCTGAATTTCATTGAGGTAGGGGCTTAATGACAAAATGCAGTCCTTTACTGAGCACACAGAGTGAAAGATCAGCAGGTATAGTGAAGATTAAGGGATGATTTAATACAAATGTTTAAGATAACTAAAGGATTTGTTTGGGTAGATTGAGGGTAACTATTTCCTGTCATGTGGGCAGAGGCCTAGAACAAAGGGGTAGAATAGTAAAATACTAGCCAGACTGTTCAGGTCGATATCAGGAAGTACTTTCCCATGCATGGAGAATCCAGAATTCATTCCCCAGGAAGCTATTGGAATTTTAAAATTAAAAAACTGAGGTTGTGAGATTTTTATTGGACAAGGAGAGTACGGATTACAGATCAAGTTCAGATACAGATTACACCTGGTCTTATTGCACGGTGGAAGAGGCTTAATGAGCTGAATCACCTCTTTTCTGCTTATTTATTCATTAAGTGTTAATCCGTCAGTTTGAGCAGCTACAATCAGCTTGAGCATCATTGCCTTTTCAACTCTGGCTGGAATTCAAAATCAGGGGAGGGAGAGTGGAAACGATTTTGAAACAATAGATGAACGTCAGCCTTTCAGAATTTTATTAATGCTCCGAGACAGGTAGTGAATTGACACTGTAATGTTAGACACTTGCATAATTGGCCTGTTCTCTTGGCAACGAGGTAATTTACCATAGAGCTGATTGGTGTTCGCTGATTCATCAAATAAATATTTCACCGGCACCATTCTGTA